TTTTTAAACATTTTCTAATGGTGGTGTGCCTCGTGATTTTTTTCATGAAAAAAGTGTGCCTTTGCACAAAAAAGGTTGAAAAACACTGTGCTAAATCAACTACTTGCCAGTGGTGTCAATTAGACCAAAAATAGAAGGTTTCTCTTACGGAGACAGTTGCAGAATATGAGAAAGAGCTGCTAACGAAGCTGAGGGCCAAGTCAAGAGATTGGATTGTTATTTGGGAGGCAGATGCTCGGCCCCCTGGAGCAGCTTCAGGGGGGCTTCCTGCAGCTCTCCAGGCTCAAGGAAGGAGGGGGAAGGGTCCTCCTGGAGTGTATCTGCCTCCCTTTCATTAGCCAAAGCAAAATGAAGTTTCCAAGAGGGGGGGGGAAGCTATCGGAGTTCGCCAAAGAGCAACCAGAAAGAAGAGACGTTACCACGTCCATGTGTTAGAAAGCCCCCAACGGATGGGTCATCGCTCACCTTCACTTTCAACCCCCCCCCCCAACACCTTCCATTTTCCAAGTTTTTGGTTCTCTTCTTTCTTTTTTGATCGTGTTCTATCCCAATTTTAAAAAATGTATTTCCTCTTTTAATTTTCCCTACCTGCACTTTCCTAAAAACTTCTGAACTGGCTCCTTCCAGTTTGCAGAAGTTTGTTCCTTGGAACTTGGCTGTGAATTAATCACCATGTTTTATTTTGTTCCTTGGGCTGCAGAGCCAGCCTGCTGAAACTTATAAATAGCTGGACGGGTGGAAATTTAGGTGGAATGTTTTTCACCCCACTCCACCATCATTATGGACTTCATTTCCTTACACAGTTCAGGATAAACAATTCCAATATATTTTGTTTTAATTATTACTGTTTAATGGGGCATATTGAGGCGATGCTGTGTGGTGCATGGAAAAATGGTAATTTACAGTGTGCTGTTGAAGGTTGGAACTTGGCCGTGAATATTTTGCCTAGAGAGGGCAAGCAAGTGCTTCTATAATAATATTATATTTATCATCAACATGTATTGTGTCTTGATTGCATCCCTCTGCTCCTAGCTTTGCAGGAGACAATGAAGTCCCTGTAAAAAAAAAAAAAAACCCTAGGAGGAAAAAGGCCAGTTTCCCTGCAGAGGGATGTTTTTCTGCCAAGACAGACATTGATCACCTTGGGAATTTGGGCTTTAGCAAACTTGAATTAAAACTAAGTACAGTATATGAAGCCAGACCGGCCATATTCTATGTCATATGACTCTCAAATGATGAAAAAAGTCTAATTTTTATAACACAAATACTGGAAACCAAAATTCAAAGATCCGTATGTATAAATTGGCCGTGTTAATTTGGGAGGGGGGCATTACTTCATGCCCCCCCCCGGATCTGGTTCAGAGACAACAACAACAACAACAACAAC